TGTGACCCAACCACTTATGCCACAACATGGAGAATGATTCATGAATTAGAGACATTTTCTTTGACACATTCGCAACACATGAGATTTCACCAAAAGAAGGTAAAGAAAATTTATATAAACCATCTCATAAGAGGCCATTTCCAATCAAACGAGAATCATAAAAAAATTCAACCATTCTATTACTAAAATTAAAGGAAAACCAAACACATTAAGTTTCGATATAGAAATTAAATTCCGTCTCATTGTCGGTACAAAAACTGTATTCTCTAAAACAAGAGTGAAACCAGACTCCAAAAACAATTTCACTACTTCTATGAACTCAACCTTCACTTGAACTCAATTCCCAACGCACATGCTTACTTCATTCTCACTTGGCCTCCATTTGCTTGTGAACCCCTGCAAGGAATTCGCAATATGAATACTGGCTCCCGAGTCTATCTACCAAGAATTCTAAGGAACATCTACAAAAGAAGACTCATAACAAACTAAAGCCAATGAGATACCTACGGAACTTTTCTTCTTCTCCAGCTAAGTCTTAAACTTAAAACAATCTTTCAGTCAGTGACCCTTCTTTTTGTAAAACTTGCATTGATCATTTTTCTTTATTGTTCATTTGGGACCACCAGAAGTTCGACCTCCAAAATTTTTATTCTGCTGATTACGGTGTGACTTGTTGCCCTTGTGGAACTTAGACTTATGGTTATGAGAAGACCCCTTGTTTTGTGGTGGCTGAAAAGATAATTGCACAGTTCCGACATTTTCACGCCTCAACCTATACTCCTCTTGGACACATACAACAATAAAGTTATTCAAATCTCATTTATCTCTTTGAGCATTATAAGCAACCTTTAGCTGATTAAACTAGCTCGGAAGACTATTCAGAACATGACAGCCAGGAAAGGCTCAGCAATGAGAATCTTTAGAGCATTTAATTTAGAAGATATATTAATCATCTTCATAACGTGCTCCATAACTCAACTTGTACCATCANAAGTTTATTAGCCCTTTCCCACTTTTCATACTCAGTTAGATATTCAAGATCGCTTTTATATGTGGGTTTCGAAAGCTGCTTTTCCATTGCAAAATCCAACCCCAAAAGATCAAGTGCTATTTCTACGTCTCGTTTCCATTTCACATAATTATTCCTAGTCAAGGTTTCAATAGCATACAATTGACTCGAAAGAGCTAAGTCATTTAAAACTGTGTAAACATAAAATAACATATTTAATATCATCAAACATAGTGCATGCAGACAATGGATGATAACATATTCATCTAATTAACATGGGCTACTAATTAGATGGTCCGTAATTAAAGTCAAAATCAAATGGACATTATTACGGTAAGAGCCTAGATGCATAATTATAAAGTCACATTTGGGCTGACAATATAACACGCTGTAAGGTAAACTTAAAACACATAATAAAGTTAGTCAACAAAACAAATTAATTTTTGTAACACCAACACCTTTAGGCAGAAGGAGATTTCTAGACCAAATAAACTCGTTAACTGTCTTATGCCAATTTCTAAAAAAAAATATCACATATAATAACACATTTGGACAAAATACTATATGCAATAATTCAAAATTACGATGCTAATGTCCTATTTTTTTTTTTTTTTGAAGAAAACCAAATAAATAAAAATGAGCGTGCCACTTTGGTAGCTATCACCCACTTTTATTTCAAAATATTTCTTTTAATGGGAGCATTAAGACAGACTTGAAGTTCACGAAAAATTCAATAATAATAATAATCACAATCATCAGCCAACGAAAAGCAAAATTCATGCGAGATTGTGAGACGAAATTGGAAACTAAATTTTAAAATATGAAAATAAAATTTAAGTAGACAAATAATAACGATATTTAATTATTTCAACAAAAATATAAAGTCAGCAATTTTGAATATAATTTTAATTTTAGGTCGAAATTGAAATATATTTGGATAAAATTTAAAAATTCCCATTTTAAAAAATTCAAATTCAATATTTCAAAATTGCAAACTTGACCCTAAATTTAAAATTATGAAAAGGGCCTCAAAATTCAAAATTACAAAATAGGTTCTTATCCTCAAATTACAAAATGACCCTTTGCTTTAATTGCAGGAGAGGCCCCCAAAAATTCACAAATTGCAGGAGAAGCCCTCATCCCCAAATTAATTGAACAGTACCAAAACCAAAATCCAATCAAACCGTTTTGGCAAAACCCTAGACTATTCTCCTTCATAGTGGCGCCGCCACCTGGCCCAACCACCATCCCCGCGACGGCAGCCCGCCTTCGCAGCTGCAAGCTGCATCTGCAATAGCGTCATACGTTGTTGCAGATAGTAGCCAACACTGTAGACTGCAGCGTCCGCTGCATCCCTAAAATGAGTGGGGTGCTTCCGCTCGCGAGTTCCCAAAGAAAAATACATGCACACAAATCACCGGAGAAAAATACATGCATCATTATACATACATAGCTTCAACTTAAATACACACAGAGGGAGGGAGGGATGATTGAATCAATTGATTTTGTTCTATAACATATATTCACAAATATATGTACACAGACTGAATGGAGGATAACATCAATTGTTATGTTCTATAGAAATTATTCACATGTATGCATGGATTCATGGGAAAAAGAGAAGCAAAACAAATAGTAGCCTCTGTTTTGTTTATTCAAAAATCAGATGATAATTATTTTTTAATTAATAATAATAATATTATAAAATTATATTTATCTACAAACCAACCCCCAAATCCCACCCCACCCCGTCTATTTCTCATCCCAATTTTACACCCAACCTTAATTTATTTATCACCAGCTCTCCACCTTCTCTCTTTGTTCCTCTCTCTACCCATGTGGCACAGTAGAACCGTTGTGCCGATCTGCTCCTTGTGCAACGGTACCGTGCGACCTCCAAGTGGCGGCAGCAGTGGTACCTCAATGCGGTAGTATCACTACAAGCCATGCGACTCTACTACATGCTTGCAATACCGCTGCGCGTAGTGGCGGCGATGCCGTGGTTGTGGACTGCAATTTGCTATGGATTTGACAAGGCGGTGGTAGTGATGGCGGCACGACGGCAACAGATTTGGGGATTTTTTGGTGGGTGTGGTGGTTTTAGTGTAATGGATATGGTGGTTGTGATTTTTGGTGCCAAAGGTAGTGGTGCTGCTTTTGTTGGCCGTGATGTTGAATGTATAAAGATGGTGGTGGTGCGGGTGGCGATGGTGGTGCGGGCGGCGACGGTGGTGGTTTGTTGGTGGTGACATGTTGGTTTTGAATTGAGATGGTGGTTTTGAAGTTGAGCGTTGGCGGTGGCGTCGTCGTGTTTGTGGCTGTTCATGTGGTGGTGGCCTTGGCGGATGCAGGTGGACTTTGGCGTGTTATGGTAGTGGATCTGGCATTGTTGGCAGTGGTGGGGTAGTGGTCCTAAACAATTATGGTATAGGAGGTGGCGACGACATCGTGGTGTTGGTGGCAGCGATAGTCGAGTGGGACCAATAGGGTTTGCCACCAATAAGTTGGTTGATTGTAACCAATATGTTGAGTAATTTGTGACCAATATATAATATGTGGCCTAAAAATGCGATTGTGACTCACAAGTTACTAAGTTGTGACTGAGAAATAACTTGTGACCAATTAATTTGACAAATTGCGACCCTTAAATAAATTGTAACTTATAAATTTATAATTTGTGGCCGATAAATGAACTATAACTTCTAAACACTTTGTGACCGATAAATAAATTGCGACGTATAAATTTTTGATTTATGATCGATGAACAAATTGTGACATATGGAATTTTTGAATTGTGACCGTAAAATAATTTGTGACATAAAATTTGTGATTTGTGACCAATGAATAATATGTGACTTATTAATTTGATAGATTTGTGACCGATGAATAAATTGTGACATATAAATTTTTGATTTGTGACCAATGAACAAATTGTGACTTATAAATTCTTTTGAATTGTGACCGTAAAATAATTTGTGACATATAAAAATTGTGATTTGTGATCGATTATATAAAATTTGTGACCAAATTATATGGAATTGTGACCTTAATATATTTAATTAATAAAATATATGTTTAATTAATTAATTTATAAATAATATTTAAAAAAAATCTGAGATTTAAAATTTTAAACCTTAAAAAATCTGAAATTTGAAATTTTAAACCTTATCTCTTAAATTTGAAATGGGTAAAATTTAAGCTCTTAGTTATGAAATTTTCCCATTTCGCAATAAGATGGAAGCTCACGTAATAGAATTTATTCAACAGCTTGCTTGCTGTCCAGCTTGTTCATTTTTTCAGCCAAAAGTTGCATTTTGGTTCGTCCAAGTTTGGGTTTCCAGCATTTAAGGCTTGTTTCCAGCAATATTTATCAAAAGCTGACTTTTAAGTCATAGATTCCAGCTTAAACAACAGCATACCCGCCTGGGAATATCAGTTTTGGTTTGTCCATCCTACATACTGCTCTTCTTATACGCGGTCCTCTTGATTCTAGCATTGATATGGACTTTGCTATTGGTTTTAAGTATTGATAAGTTAAAGATTCTTTCAGTTCGTCCAGTCCAGGGTGATCAGTTTCGTCACAGTTTCAGCTTGTTGGCAGATTTCTTCACTTCTTGTTCGAATTTTTTCCTGGCCTCGGTCTAAGTTCGAATCCAGCTTAACTTCTTGAAGCCTGGCCAATAGCTTTTGTGCTTTACTCATCACGATTCCTTGGATGTCCGGAAGTTATGCTCAAGTTTCAGGTTTGATTTGTTGGCAGATTTCTTATCAACACATAGCACTCTGCCACCTCATCAAAAGAAGAAATAGACACATCATCAACAAATATAGTAGCTGAACCGTAGCATAATTGTACAGAATGCTGAGTAGTGACAGTAGAAGAAATTGTTATATTTTCTCTCCAGTCATCATAACTGTTTTTATTCCTTACATTTATGTATAAATTCAATCATCAATGAAATGGAAAATGGGCTTCTGAATTCAGCCAAATATGAGATTCTATTATGGTATCAGAGCGTCTAGACCATCTATGATCTTATCCCCTTCCATTTTCTCTCCTAATACCTCTGCTATGTCATCCTTCTCTCATCTCATCACCACTAAGCTCACTACCGATAATTTCCCACTTTGGAAAGTTCAGATTACAGCTTACCTCCAAGGTTAGGATCTATATCAATACGTCGATGGCACACTTCCCACTCCACCCGAAACCATTACCACTACCGATGCTAATGTGTTCTCCCCTAATCCAGCCTTTGCCTCTTGGAAGAAAACAGACAAATTAGTTCCTAGTATCCTTTTTTCTTCCATCTCTGAAACAGTACTCGACCATGTTCTTTCTTCCAAAAATTCTCGTGCTTTATGGTAGGCCCTTCACTCCCTGTTCTCCTCTCAATCTCAGGCAAAGCAGTTCCAAGTACGTTTCCAGTTAGCCAATCTTTCCCGTGGTGAACAATCCATCACCGACTACTTTGGGAAGGTTAGAACTCTTGCTAATATTCTTGCTACCACTGGTAATCCCCTCCTTGAGCCAGACTTTGTGACTTACCTTCTCACCGGACGTGGTCCTGCATATGACACATTTGTCACATCTATTAATACACAGGCAGAACCCATATCCTCTACTGAACTTTATCAATTGCTCCTTATACATGAAAGTCGTCTCTCTCATTCCTCACGGAGTATACTCTCCAGGGAGCCCTCTGCCAATTTTACAGAGTCTAGTGGACGAATAAGGGGCAACTATAGAGGAGCTCGTCATGGGCAAAATGGAAATGGCGTGGCAGACCGCCATATTCAAACCATGGTGGCCGCAATAGATCTGCTGCTCCATTCTCAAATGGGTCCTTCAATAATTGCCCTACTTATCAAGTTTGCAAAATATATGGACATGAAGCCCTGCAATGTCGATATCGATTTGATCACAACGACCAAAATGCCGCTCCTCCCACTTTTTCAGCTAATTTCACCAGCTCCAACAATGACCCAGCCTCAACCTGGTACCCAGATTCAGGCGCAACCCACCACATCACCAATGACTTCTCTCATCTCAACCTATCATCTGAACCTTACAGTGGTCCTGATCAGATTCACGTATGAGATGGTTCGGGTCTGTCTATTCATTACACGGGTGATTCCTCTCTCTCAACTCATTTCTCTTCTTTTTTACTTCGAAATCTTCTTCATGTTCCTAGAATAACCAAAAATCTCATTTCTGTCTCTCAATTTTGCCGTGATAATCTATGCTTTTTTGAATTTCACTCTGATTTCTTTACTGTAAAGGATACCAAGACTGGGATCTCCCTCCTCACAGGACCGGTCAGTAATGGGCTGTACGTTTTCCCCACCATTCCTGCATCTCCGTCCCCTTCTACCTCCTCCCCATCTGCTAACATTGGTGAACGTACCTCCATGGCTCAGTGGCACTTTCGCCTTGGTCATCCTCATCAGTCCGTTGTCTCCAATCTCCTGCGCACCAACTGCTTGAAGTTACTCCCCACCGCCTCAGCCTTCTCCTGTGTTGACTGTCCCTTGGATAAACTTCACCAATTGGGCTTCTCATCCTCTCGGGTTGAGGCTACTAAGCCTTTAGAGCTTGTGTGTGCAGACATTTGGGGCCCAACTCCATTTCCTTCTAGATTAGGTTTCAAATATTACCTTTCATTTGTAGACAAATTTACTAAGTTTACCTGGTTTTATCCCTTAAAATACAAGTCTGATGTTGCTCAAATTTTCCCTATTTTCTTATCTTTAATTGAGCGTTTATTTAATACAAAGCTTATTACCTTACAAACGGACGGTGGTGGAGAATTTAAACCCTTAACCCCCCTTATGTCAAAAAATTGGTATTAATCACCAATTCTCGTGTCCACATACCCACCAACAAAATGGGCTAGTGGAACGAAAACATAGATACATCGTTGAAACTGGGCTTGCACTATTGGCCCATGCCAATCTCCCCTCTCATTTTTGGGCCGAAGCTTTTGAAACAGCCGTCGATCTTATCAATCGATTACCATCAAAAAATACTCAAAATACATCTCTATTTTTCCATGTTTACAAACGACACCCTGATTATGAATTTCTCAAAGTGTTTGGTTGCCTTTGTTTTTCTAATCTTCGTCCGTATAACCAACATAAATTTAATTATCGTTCATCTCCTTGTCTTTTTCTTGGGTATAGCGGTGCTCATAAGGGATATAAATGTCTGGACAAGAAAACCCACAGACTTTACTTTTCCCGTGATGTCCTCTTTCATAAGACCTCATTCCCTTTCTCGCAGTCCGCTAGTTCACCGAATTTTGAGTCCAACTCCCAGCCCAGTACACCTATTCCTTCACAAGTTTACCTTCCACTTTTTCCTCAATCAATTCTTGGCCCAGGCCCAAGCCGAACCCCTAATCAGCCTTTGACAGCCTCTTCCCCACCTGATACCTCTGAAATTCCCAATCCCTCTCAAATACCTAACTCTGCAACTCTCAATTCCTCTGAAAACCCCATTGTCCTCCCTCCTCGTTCTCTTATAATGACCTGTTCACACATTAACTCCTCACGTCCTCGTGTTCGTATGGATGGTACCATCCCACATCCTTATCGAGCTTGTTTTAGCACCATTGTTCCCGTTCCTGAAATTCCCAGCTCTTACTTTATAGCTCGCAAGCACTCTGAATGGCAACATGCCATGCAACAGGAATATGATGCCCTGATTTAGAATGAAACCTGGTCCTTGGTTCCATTTGATGCCTCTCTTAATGTACTTGGTTGCAGATTGGTCTACAAGACTAAATTATAGGCGGATGGATCTATTGAACGAAGGAAAGCACGTCTCGTAGCTAAGGGTTACCACCAGCAACAGGGCCTGGATTTTGAAGAAACCTTCAGTCATGTGGTCAAGGCCCCCACCGTTCGCCTCATACTCTCCATTGCTGCTGCTTGAGGGTATTCACTTTGACAAGTTGACATTCAAAACGCATTCCTTCACGGAACTCTTCATGACCAGGTATACATGCAACAGCCCCAAGGATTTATCAACCCCATGTTCCCTACGCATGTGTGTAAACTGCATAAAGCACTTTATGGTCTGAAACAGGCCCTTAGAGCATGGTTTGCCCAACTCAGTTCATGGCTGCTTTCCTATGGATTTATTGCTTCAAAAGCTAATGCATCCTTATTTGTTCTTAACTCTGGTGATTTGTACATTTATCTCCTTGTGTATGTTGATGATTTTATCATCACAGCCTCTAAGGCCTCTGCCATTGATGCCTTTGTTCGGGATTTAAGTACAACATTTCCTGTTAAAGACTTAGGGGTCCTGTCATACTTTCTTGGATTGGAGGTAAATTATTTGTCCACAACAAGATGTGTCAATTCATGCACACACCTAAGTTGCCCCATTGGACTGCAGTCAAACGAATTTTACGCTACTTGAAAGGAACCATCAATCATGGTCTCTTGGAGCTCAAAAAAACAGAAAATAGTGGCTCGGTCCAGTATAGAAGCTGAGTACAAAGCTATGGCTACCTCTGTTACTGAGATCATTTGGCTTCAATCCTTAATCTCAGAACTTGGACTACCCTTGTCAAAGGCTCCAACACTATGGTATGATAACATTGGGGCCACCTATCTTGCTGCTAATCCTGTTTATCATTCACGGACCAAACATGTAGACATTGATTTTCATTTTGTTAGAGACCGGGTAGCAGCCAAGTCCCTGACCATTGCCTTCATAAGCTCAAAAGACCAACTAGCAGATGTACTTACAAAACCATTGGTAGCTGACAGGTTCTTCAGACTCAAGTCGAGTCTCAATGTCGTTGACACTCCCTTGGACTCGAGGGGGCGTATCAACACAGAGCATTCTGCCACCTCATCAAAAGAAGAAATAGACACATCATCAACAAATATAGCAGCTGAACCGTAGCATAATTGTACAGAATGCAGAATGCTGAGTAGTAACAGTAGAAGAAATTGTTATATTTTCTCTCCAGTCATCATAATTGTTTTTATTCCTTACATTCATGTATAAATTCAATCATCAATGAAATGGAAAATGGGCTTCTGAATTGAGCCAAATATGAGATTCTAATATACCTTCCCCAAGTTAAGTTCGAATCAAGTCATTCATGTAACAAACTTGGACTTGAATTTTGAATTGTTCAACTACCATTTCCAGCTTTATCTAGCCACTACTACTTATATTATGCCGTCTCTTGCATTCTACTTTGTTTGACTAACATGGTGACAGGTGAAGGTAGTAAATGGCTGCACGTGCCTTAATCCTAGAAAGGCAGATTGTTGAAATTCTGGGAAAGCAGTGTGTGTGAAAGCAGATTGTTTCAAACCAGCCAACAGCTTGTTTTGCTATTAAAGAGCTCATGGTTAGCTGGTTTTTACTTGATTGGGAAATAAAATGTGCCCTGCAGTACTCCAGCATTGTTGACTGCCTTCTTGCAGTATTTGAAACCCCCTTTTTTTTTTTTTTGGCAAATTCTTGCTGCCAAAAATGAAAGCTGCCTAACATAATCCAATTGACTCAAGCGATGGATTTAGTTCTAAGGCATTAGCTAACCTATATGTGTAGACGAAGTAGTTTTGATTGATTGATTTTCAATCTTTGTTTGGGTCATTAGACTGATTGTAACACTAGTTATGTAAGTCGGGGAATGTCTGGAGTAGTTGTACGCACAATTTTGATCAATACAATTTATTTACTTGATAAAAAAAAAATACCAAGATACACTTCAAGAATTGCAAAGGGTAGAAGCAAATTAGGGCAAGAAGAAATCCAACAATATTTTTTATTTAATTTGAAGAACAATCAAATTACATTATATACATTCATTTCTTAGCAAAAATGTAAATGAAGTAAAAATTATTACCAAAAATAAAAATGAACGCATGCAAATTTAATTTGCCTTCTCAGGATATTTATCCATAACCGTGCATACCAATTTTTTCTTGAATTCTTGTCCTCTTCATCTTCTCTGGAAGTTCAACACTTTGATGCCATATACAAAGACAGAGAAAAAAAGAAGTGCCCAACCAACATGTGCCAAAGCAACATATCCTAGGAAGTCGGATTCATAACCTAGAAACTGTTTAAGGTAGTCCTTTACTTGGATGTCACCATGTTTGGGTACATGAACATTGTCCGTTTTGTCCCCAACTTGTGATGTTACAAGCCCATAGATGGTCCATGCCACTGGAGAACCCCAGTAGTACCACCTCCACCATACTGGAATTTGCTGCAAGTGGTAAGATTTTATATAGAATTAGATTCATTCAATAAGATAAATCTTAAACCAGAGTCATCTTATTTCTGGGATAAAGAAGAAGGGTTATAACAGGTTGAGAATTGCAAATATATATTTGTCAAAATTTGAAAAAATGCAACTGTATTGTTCGAAGAGTGAGTATATTTACCATTCGGGGAATGAGGAAACCTGAAAACAGGTTCCAGAAGCTGAGGAAGAATGACATGACAATTGCAGCTATTTGGTAACTTGGGGTAAGGGCTACAAGCATCATTCCATAGAGTGTGAAGTAGACAAAGCACATGAAAACATAGTAATAGAACCATAAGAACTTGTCTGCTTGCCACTCAAATCCGATCATCGAGTAAAGGAGAAGGCTGTAAACAAAGGTCTGGATGGCTACATAAATTGTTTCTACAGCCACCTATGAAAAAAAAAAAGAGATTATTCAGTAGCACGTTATGACGATATTGAGAAATTTTATTCACAATTGAGAAAATATAAATTGATTTGAAGATAAATATATTCCGGTTTCTTTACCTGAGCAAATGCATAAGGCAAAGCTGAAAACATCCCGGCTGCTCTTTCACGATAAAATACTGTTCTTTCAACTGCCACCACAGACTGAACTGCAGAAGTATTTGTTCCTCCAAGGAACAGAACAGCAGCATACATAGCGCCAAGAAGATTTGATAGGTCTTGCTGTTTGTGACTGTTGAAAATGGCAGTTCGTTTAACATATGTTTATAATTTCAAGGAAATAGCTGCAGAATTCACCAAGTGCATGTTTGGTACGCAATATTTACCGGACTGTATAATGAACAAGATTTTAGCTTTTTTATCTTGTCTAATGCTATCCAATCATCTTTACCAAAAGTGCTATAAGAGTCTAAGACCTAGGACTTACATTTTATCTCCTTTATTCCAAAAAATTACTCCAAAGATGATTCCAATGACAATTGTCATAAAGAATCTGATGACATTGTACTGTGGATTCCTCCAGTAAGACCAGTGCTGTTTCCAAAAACAGGCCGTAAATTGAGTAAGGAAGGGTTGGGAGTATTTTGTGGGGAAGTACAGGTCTTGTGATCCCGGTGCTGGAATGCTTAGCTCTGCATTCAGTTCTTGATTCCTCCTGCGATATGCATAGAATGAGATGGACTCCGTTATGATGTAATTTCTGGATATGGAACGATAAAACAAAATGATTGAAATAGATTGACATTATCTTATACTTTTCACATACCGATACAGATCAGAGTTGGAGTAAATCTCTGCAAAATTCATGTCGAGTTGAGTTTCCACTGCTGCAGAACTTACTTCTAGCATCCATGTAGCAGGATTGTATCCATCTTTGATTTTAGGAACACCCGGAACACACTGCAGTAATGAGATTGCATATAAGACTATTGAAATAAACTATGAATTCATGATCATGTTTTACAAATGGAGATGCCACTCACTTCGAAGTATTCTACTAGGAGCTGAGAATTTCTTCCAAGGGGTCCAGCATAAGTAACTTGTCCTCCTCTCTTCATCAGAAATAGCTACGTGGAAAAACGTATTTAGTTCACAAACAGTATTGAGTGCTACCTTGAGATTTCATTGGCAGGTTTTAAGGATCAAAAACTCAAAACAGGAAATACCTCATCAAACGATTCAAAAATGTCGATGCTTGGTTGGTGAATTGTGCATACTACTGTTCTCCCCGTGTCCACTGTATTCCTGACAGCACGCATCACAATTGCAGCAGCTCGAGCATCCAGGCCTGATGTTGGTTCGTCCATGAAAATAATTGAAGGGTTTGCAACTAATTCGACAGCAATGGTGAGCCTCTTTCTCTGTTCAGTTGATAAACCATCTACTCCTGGAAGGCCAACCAGTGAACCCTTCAATGAGTTCAACTCAACTAACTCCATCACTTCCTCGACAAACATCTGAAATCAATACATAGATGTGTCAATTCTTAATTGGTAGATTAAAGTTCAGTATCATAACGTCGGACAGATAAGAAAAAACTTGCCTGCCTTGTTTCATTTTTTACATCTGCTGGAAGACGTAGCCAGGCCGAATACAGGAGAGACTCCTCAACGGTAACATGTGGAGAGTGAATGTCATTCTGTTCACAGTAGCCACTAACGCGTGCAAATGTCACTTGATTCTTCAGGTAACCAGATATTCTGATGTCCCCTTCGATGTATCCACCAGTTTTTCTTCCAGCTAAAACATCCATCAAAGTGGTTTTTCCAGCGCCACTGACCCCCATCAATGCTGTCAAAACACCAGGCCTAAAAGCACCACTGACATCTCGCAACAATTGGAGCCGTGTCTCCTCAACTCCTTGGCTTTTCATTTCCTGATAATCATCCCAAAAACAACTAATAGAATACGTTTTCTGATTGATAATTACTCCTAGAAAAAGAGGACATGATCGACAGATCAGTTACTCACCGCTGGCATATCAACGTAGTAATTTACGTGATCGAATGACAGTGATAAGGGCATGAACGGGAGCACCATTCCTCGTTTATTAGTTGCACTGACTGAATCATTTACATTTTCTTGTTCGGGTGTGTTTTTCCCTGCATAAACAACAGATTTTATAATTAATGAGAATTATGGAAATTGTGCACTCTTCTCATTCCAAAAATCCAAGTAGTTCTAATTAAGATAATGAAGATGAGTTCCAATTCCAAACGCCCAGACCTGTAGAGGCTGAGCTCCTATCTGTTGCCACCTTCCCATTAGAGAATGGCAGCTTTTTTTTCTTACTTTCACCTTCCGAGATTGAATTAACAGATTTGGAATCTCCCAATGCTGCATTCAAGTTTTAGAAAACAGTTAAAACTCGATTTCAGGTTATCATTTTAAGATTTAAAATGTAGTAGAAAATTAATTCAGTTTCTTGAGAACAGTAACTGATCAATACGGAAAAACTAATATCTTACGTTTTAAGAATGTCAGTGCTGCGACAAAGCAGAGATTGAAGAAAAGAGAAAATCCAAAAAGCGCGATAACGCAGATCCAATACCAATGTTCTTCTGTGAACATCCCCCTGCCTGCTAGAAGTTCAAGACCAGCTGTACTTCCATGAAATCTGGTATCATCATTTGGCTGAAAAAACAGATAATAAACTCACTAAGAATATCAAATGATAAGAATTAAGAAAGAAGTATAAACCCCGGAATACAGAGAGAGAGTCTGCAAACTATTAGTTAAGCTTACTGTGGACCATCTTTGGTCGAGAAATTCTACTAGAACGATTGCATTTTGTCCGTATGACATTGGAGAAAGATAATAGGCCCATTTCATCCATGGCTGAAGGTCATCTGAAGGAAAAAAAAAAAGATTAAAGATTGACTTTTTAGACTTCACATTTTGGCTATATTTGGAGTTCAACAGCATCATTATTTTGTAATAGTATATGGATACTGGATAGTAGAAGATACAATTGCTAACCTTTGTCAATGATAAATCCACCAAGGACAAAAACCAACAACAGGGTGAAGGTTCCTAGAGTATTTGCAACAACTTGTGTTCTTCCAAGGGCTGCAATAAAACGGAAGAGACCCAAGGCCATCTGATGGATACCAACAAATGCCAAGAATTGGCGAAAGAACCTGGAATTTCGATTTAGGAACATATTAATTTATTTATAGATCATTAAAAATTTTTCCAACAAAGGACACAACCTATGAATATGTTGCAGTATGCTATGATCAAAGAGAAGTATTCACACTTTTACCTGCTAGCAGCAGGAGCAAATCCAACAGTGTAATACGTGAGAATGATCCATATTCCTGACTCCATGAGAGAGATTGGAATCCTGAGGAGCCAAATTGGTAGAGCAAAAGCCCAGGCAGGGTAAAATAGGGCATCCCGTTGTTTGAAGAACACGGGAAGCCTAAATATGGTCATTGCAAGCTCAGCCATCCCATTGAACATCACGTTAATAAGGCTGAAGAAAAGTGCCCCATAGAATTTACCCCCATCGTCTATCTCTCCGTACTTCATCTGTGTTCTAAAGAACACAGTGAAAGTAAATAGAGCCATAATTGTAATTTGTGTAGTCTTAAAAATGTACACAAATGAGTTGCGTTTCATCAATAACCACTCCCTTTCAAAACAGGCTTTGAAAAGATCTTTGTTCGAGATACCATACTTCTCCTTCACCAATGCAGCTGGATGGGTTTTACTCTTGTCATAAGGGACACTGAGTTCACTGAAAAGTTTCTGCCCTATGTAGAAAGACTCAAAGTGATTAACAAAGTCGGATACTGATATGTAATGGTAAGGTTCATTTTTCCTCGACCAATACTGTTCTTGGTCCTTCTTGGAAGTAACCTCTTGGAGAAAATCTGCGACTCCTTTCCTTTCTGGACATTTGAATCCTACGCTCTCAAAAAAGTCAAGAACTTGCTCACGAGGACCTTGATATACAATTTTTCCTTCTGAAAGCAAGATAATGTCATCAAAAAGATCAAAAGTTTCAGGGGCAGGTTGGAGAAGAGAGATTATCATGGTTAGATCCATTATATGAACCATTTGTCTCATGTACTTGACGATTTGAAATGTGGTGGAACTGTCGAGACCAGTCGAGATTTCATCCATATAGAAAACTTTTGCAGGGCCAACCAACATTTCTCCTGCATTGAGAAAAACGAAACAGACCATCTTCATTAGCATTTCCGAATGGCCAATTATAAAGAAACCTCAAAACCTCGACCACTGTTTTACATACCAGTCGTTACACGCTTCTTCTGTCCTCCAGAAATACCCCTTCTCATGTCATCACCCACCATTGTATCAGCACAAATATCCAGTCCAATTATCTGTTGCACAAATCCACATAACATAGTTTGATATGTAGAGTTCATTCGCTAAATAAATCATATAAATTACAGACAAGAAAACAAACCTTGAGCACATAGTCTGTGACCACGCTACTCTTTTGGCCAGCAATTGCAATGGCTTTCATGAAAGCATCAATCTCAGGGTCCGGCTTAATTCCGGCACTTTTTTCTCTTCTTGACAACTCAGCAAGCAGTTCATATCTTGCACCAACTCCAAAACAACGCCCTGAAAAATCCATGGTTTCCCTAACAGTCATCTCACCGTGATGAAGATCATGCTGGCTTATGTAAGCACAAGTTCTCTGAGGAATGAACTCCCTCAATTCATGGCCACAGCAAGTGATTTTCCCGGTTACCTAATGTCCGAAGCAGAAAAAGAATAAGAAAATTAATTGCAGTTTAAATCTAAGGATCAAGAAATGCTCAGAATTCGATGATGTGAAAAAGTAAGTCTAAAATTACAAAATGACACACCCTGAGTTCTTCCTCTAACTTTCCTGCAAGTGCCTTCAGCAAAGTAGTCTTCCCAGAGCTTGGAGGTCCCAGAAGTAGTGTCATCCTGAATATTACACATTAATGCAAATACTGGAAGAGATGGATTAAATTTTTAAACTTCCTATGCAGCGTATTATTGAACTATCTCGTCTAAAAATTTAGACCGTTAGGGACAAGTTCATTTTTTAAAATTTCATCTTTAACATGCTCGTCTTATGTGCAGGACGGATATATTTACTCATCAAAGGCTTGACATGAGAACCATAATCACAAATGATTGGTAGTGAGATTTGAATTCACAAAAATTGCCTACTCTAAACAATTATTTATCTAAATCTAGTCTTCAACACTTACCTTGACGGTTTCACTATTCCAGAGACATCGTCTAGTATTTTGACAGCTTTTTTCTTAGGTGGAAAAATCTTCAGAAAACCAAGAATCCCCTATTCACAATGTTAAACAAAATGACAAGACAAAAATCATTGACAGCAGAAAATACATCTTCAACTGGAAATCTTGTCATAATAGAAAAAATTAGATTAATCTCTTAATAATTCATGGCACGAAGCAAATTACCTCGAATGCATTGATAGTTGAATTCAGCAAAGTTGGAAGGGCTCTGCTTCCACAGAATGCATCTCCTTCTATAGATAAATGCTCAAACCTGACTACACATTGAGGAATGCTGATCCCAACCCTGTACAAATAGTTTTATGATTATTATTTTGATAGTAAGACCTTTTGTAAGTAGGGATTAGGACTTGATCTGTGATGTTCAATACTCATAATTGAAATTATCGATACCTATCAATTCGTTCTCGGAGCCTCAGCAGTAAATTCTCATTATCATCTTCGAAAGCTTTTAGCATACTCTCCATGAGTTGCTTCTTGTCATGCATGCCAAGATGGGAAAGATCAACTTCTTCACGGACAATTGTTCCATTGTCCAAAACCTTGTTCATAATTCCCTTCTTCATACGAGCATAAGTAGGAAGCCTTTCAATGGCAGCCCACTTAAGCTCCTCCTCATCGTCACGTCTCCCACTTTTTTGGAAAACATAGCCTCCTGGAGCCACCAACGCCTCCCGGATACTGGCAGAAGCCCAGCCTTTCATGCTGGCTGATGCAAAGCTCCCCCTCCGACTCATAGACCTCGCCAAGTCATCTCCTGTCACGGGAGCCGCCATTAGTTAAAAATATGATTAATAGCTCCAGAAAATTCGTCACCAGGCAGGTGACAGGAAGAACAAGTTCTTGTTTAATGGAAAGAGTGTCGATGGAAGAATTGGAAACCGAACATGGATTGCAGGTGGCTGATGGATACTTTTTGGAGCCAAAATATATAGGGAAATGTCTGAAAGAGGACATGAATTCAGTTCCCAAAAATGGTATCAGAAAGTCGTCTATATTCTATGTTTTGTCAACTTCCGACAATATCAATGAACAAAACTGGTTCTGAAATATTCAGGTTTTTGTCTCTATATGTCAACTGTTTAGATATGCCATTTCTGTAACACAAGATATATTAACACAAAATATATTACAGACAGCTCCTATTATCAAAATCCCATGACCAATCACAAGATGTTACAACTACAATGGGTAGGTAGTATTAAGAAAGGATATGAAGCTGAAAAATCTTGTCATTTTGTTTTCTTTGTGATCTCCAAATGGCCAATCACATTACGAAATATCGCCACAAATTGCTATAGAAAGAAAAACCGGCATACAAATTGTCCAACAAGATTACATCAATGACATGAAAAGCTTAAGATGCAAGTTCATGGACCACTTTGTTCCTGTCTTTAGAAACATAACGGCACAGAACACAATCCATGTTACCAAGAAGGAAGAAGACATCATATAGGACCTCTGCTTAGGTGCCAAACTGTGCACGTGCTGCAAGCTTTGAACCACCCGCAAGGAATGGCATTCCGCCATAGTTGCAGAGTTCAGTCTGCTGGGCAAGAATAAAACCCTCACAGATGGCTAAAACTCCGCCACCTCCAACAAAAAACTCCCATTCATCTATGGCTAAAACTCCGCCACCTTCACCAAAAAACTGTAAGTGTTATGCCCTAGACCCAATCGATTTAGGTTATAAACACTTTTCATATGTTTGATGCTTTTAATTATGGCAAGATCTATTATTTATTTATATTGCTTTTCTATTGAAATTATATTAAATAATAGAATCCGTAGATTTAAATCTTTTCAAT